CTATGATATGATATGAATATGATNTTAATAAAATTAGTACTTTCGAACTGATGATCTACGGTTTAAAAGTGATTCAAGATGGTATTGCAAAATGTAGAAAAGCATTAATGAGGAAGAAAAAAAAAAGACTTAACTTTGCTCTCATGTTCCTTTTCTTTTTTTTTTTTTAATATTATAATATTACTTTAAAATTTGTTTAATACATTGAAAGTTTTAATTAAAATTTATTTTTGAATTAATAAAATTTGTTATTTTTAAACTTTTGCTATAAAAACAAAAAAAAAAAAAAATCAAATTGATCATTGGTCAAGAAAAGATTGAAAATTAACATTAAAAGTTTTAATTAAAATTTATTTTTGAATTAATAAAATTTGTTATTTTTAAACTTTTGCTATAAACAAAAAAAAAAAGTCAAATTGATCATTGGTCAAGAAAAGATTGAAAATTACTAATAAGTATAGTTATCAATTATGGATAATTTAAACTTTAAATTATCTGCAATGATAATGCATTTATTGATTTGTTTATTATGAAAATTTTCAAAATTTTGATAACTTATAATTATTTGATTTTTTTTCACAAAAAAATTTTTGACATTTTTTTTTTCAGGCAGCAATTCGTGGGATGATTGTAAGAAATCGTTTACGTGAAATGTATGATGCAGCATTAATAATTCAACGAAATTGGAAACGTTTTAAGGTTGAGCATAGATATCAGCAAATTCGTCGCGCAATTGTCGCTATACAAGCACATTATCGTGGTGCATATGCTCGAAGACGGTATAATTTTCTTTGTTTTGTTTTGTTTTTTTTTCCCCCCCCCCCTTCCTTCTTTTTATTCAAATTTATTTCAATTAATTTTATCTTTTGATTTAATTTTTGTTTTAATTTTACTTTTTAATTTTTTTCTTAATTTTTTAATTTTAATTTTTTTCTTAATTTAAAAATTAAAATGAATTAATAATTGAATTTAGATATGAAGAAATGAGAAAGGAAAATAATCCAAAGAAATACAAACATTCGCCAAATTTTACAATAACAAAGATTGTACGAAAAATGGAATTAGCATCGTTTAATTTGAATGATCTTGAATCATTGGCGCAATTTGCAAGTTCAGATGAGGATGATGAAGTAGCATCAACAAGTGCTAGTATACCAGATGAGGAAGAAGAGGAAGAAGATAGTCGAAGTTCAACTGAATTAGATAGGTATGTTTTCATTTTTTATTTTCAAAAATTAAACATTTCCAGTTTATTTTAGTATATTTTCAATCGAAAATCTATCATTTTTTTCTTTTTAGACATTTTTACAATATTATTAAATTGGTAAAAAAAAAAAGTTAAATAGTGATGCATGAATTTTATTTAAAGGCAAATATCATTGTATCGATTTTGATTAGATAATTAAATTGTTAAGATAATCATTAGATTGATTAAATTATTAAGATAATCATTGGATTAAGTAATTAGACTGTTAAGATAATCATTAGACTAGGTAATTAGATTGTTAAGATAATCATTAGATTATCAAGATAATCATTGGATTAGGTGATTAGATCGTTAAGATAATCATTAGATTGATTAAATTATTAAGGAAATCATTAGATTAGATAATTAGACTGTTAAGATAATCATTAGACTAGGTAATTAGATTGTTAAGATAATCATTAGACTAGGTAATTAGATTGTTAAGATAATTATTAGATTGATTAGATTATTAAGATAATCATTAGATTGGTTAATTAGATTGTTAAGATAATCATTAGGTTGGTTATTAAATTGTTAAATTTCATTAAATTGTTAAGATAATTCATATTTATTTCAGTGTTCATTTGGAAACAGAACTTGATGCAACATTCATATTAGAAGATAAAAAATTAAAACTTGTTGAGTAAGTTGACAAATTAATTTTTGCATTTAAATTTTATTATCTATGCTAAATTCTTTTTTCAACTCATTATCCATCGAATCATTTTCAATCTTATTTTTTCCCCTTTTCTATTAATGAAATATGCACTAACTATTCAACATGAAAAACACACTTTGCCCTTTGACCTTTTCTTTTTTTTTGCATTTGAATTGATAAATAATGATATTGTATTATGCGGATGCATTCAATTAATAATTTCATCATTGTCACACCTTTAGTTTATCATCAAAATGTAGTAATGGGAATATCATTCTTTCTTATCACTATTTATGCTTTTACATTTAGCATAATTACTGATAATTTTTAGTTTTGTAATATAGTGTATTCAAAATGAACACATTGATTAATTTCTTACTATGATAAGACTTTCTTACAGTGATAAGAATTTTCTTTTTATTTGAACAGTGATAAGAATTATCAAAGTTTCATTCATCTTTACAATCCATTATTATTCAGGACATCACGAGATTCAGCAATTTTCAAAAGGCGAATAAGTTCAGTATCAACTGTTACAACAAAAAAGGTTTTCTCTATCATTTCTTGTATGAAAATTTACAAAATGTATATTTGAATTCAAATTTCACTAACATTTCAAAACAAATTTTAAGCATTTGATATTCTTCCTTATCACTTTTTATGCTTTTTACATTCAACATAATTACTGATAACCTTTTTTTTCCGGTTGCTAAAGTTTACCAACTTGTAATTATTTAGCAAAACAAATATATTTTTTTGAAAAATTCTCGATAAAAAAAAAGCAAAAAAAACTACCGTTACCTCAATTGTGATAATTTTTGAGTGATATTTCAATTGTATATACTTACCATTTTTAAATCAAATTTTTTTTGGAAACGATTTCAAATTAAATTTAAAAAGTATTTTAATTTCATTCAAATTAAATGCTTTTTTTTTTTTATTTCTTCTTTTTACAGATGAAAATGTTTCGAAGAGCTGCAAGCACAGAAACTGATCGAATTTCAATTCCTGAACATATGATACCTGCGGTAAGCCAATAAATTGAAGTTTAAATGTTTATAATTATCACAGATGATAATTATATTTCGTCAAATAATTTTTTCCTAACATATATATATATATATATATATGTACGACTTCATATTGTTAAGCCTTAAATGCCATTTCGGTTTAAGGTAATTAATCATGACGGAATTAAATACAATATTTCATATTGTAAAGCCTTAAATGCCATTTCCGTTTAAGGTAATTAATCATGCCGGAATTAAACAAATACATCATATTGTTAAACCTTAAATGTTATTTCCGTTTAAGATAATTAATCTTGCCGGAATTAAATATAATACTTCATATTCTTAAGCCTTAAATGCTATTTCCGGTTAAGGTAATGTTGTCGGAATTAAATAAATATAATACTGCATATTGTTAAATCTTAAATGCCATTCCCGTTTAAGGTAATTAATCTTGCCGGAAATAAATTTGTTTATGCGTCGATTCAATTCTAATTAAATGTAATTATTTACCTCGATATATTAGAAATTAATGTCTTCAATATTACCATGCTAAAGTTTCGGTAAAAATAATCAACCGGAAAAAGTTGTCACACTTTTCATTCTTGTCATATGACATATAATGGATCATTATAACTCGCTAAAAATTTTTATACATCTAAAACTTATGGTGACAAGTCATATATATAAAAGGTAGAAAGGCAGACAAACCTGCTCAATTAAAGCTAGCAAATAAAATGAAAAAAAAAGACAACGAGGAAGTGCCTTCATTAAATTATAATTTAATCACTTTTATTTTTTTTTTTGAGTAATGAAATAAATTTATGTGAAAAAAAATTTAAAAAAAAAAAACAAGTTCATAATATCTTGTTAATCATATTTACAACTTTATTTTGTTATAAATTATTAAAATTTTAGAGTCCAGAAAGTAAGAGCAAAAGTCGAAAGATGGGTTTCATGCGAGCTACAAAACATTTGAAGGCATTTTTATCACGACGTAGTGATAGCATCTCAGGTACTGGTGAAAGTCGAGATTCACTTAATACAAGGTATATATATATATATATTTTTTTTACTCAATAAATTATTCTTTGACCTAAATTAATTCTTTTTTATATTTCATATTATTTTATTTTTTTCACTTAATTTTACTAATATTTCATGCTAAATAGCTCATTCTTATCTGCCATTGATAATTTGTTATTTGAATGAATGAAAATGAATAGATTAAATGTGAAAGAATTTGATATTTGGTGTAATTATTTGAGTTAGCATTAATCAATTCCAATTTTTCTTGTCCTATTTTTAGCAAAGCATTTATTTTTTCTTTTATCATTATTTTCATTTTATAGCATGACACAAATCGAAGGAACTAAAACGCCAATGAAACATAATTTAAAATTAAGTCGATTACATCGTCATGAAATTTGTGCATTATGCAGTAAGAATTTTACAGGTATATTGATAAAGGGAAACAAATGCACAGGTATTTATTTTAATTTCATTCTTTTTGATTAATTAATTACTTTCAAATATGGAATAATTTTGTGAGGAACAGTCTCATTATGCTCTAATTTAACAATTAAAAGTTAATTAAAATTTGAACAATTCAACAATCGAAGTAATTCCATAAAAATTTATGGAAAATTTTGAGAAAATATTTTTTTTTTTGCATTCTAATTAATGTAATTCTAATTAAGCGGGTTAAAAATAAGCAATTTAGATAAATAATTATAAGTATGCATTTGAAATGAATTCAAACATTGCTTCAAGTTAATTAAACCGAATGTTTTTTTTTAAATTTAAAATTTAAACAATTTTATCATTTAACGATTTTGTTAATTTCAGAATGTAAGTTATCATTCCACAAAGAATGCTCTTCATTTGCATCAAATATTCCTTGTCAAGCAATAATTCATTCAGTTCGTTCGGATGATATGCCATCAAGAAAGGAATCGGAAATAAAGTGAAAAAATTTTGAAATTATCAAAATTAACATACCTTTTGTTTGAATTAAATTAAATGAAATTCAAAATTCCTTTTTTTAAAATTTGATAATGAATAAATCTAATCATTATAGTAATATGGGATTGATTAGTGTAGAATAAAACGGAGAATTAGAATAAAGGATGAATTTTTAGATAGTTTTAAATATGATAAGATAATGTTGAATGAATGAATAAAAATAGAAATTTAAAATTTCATACTTTAAGATAATTCTGGAATATAATCATTCTGAGATTAGCCAAGCAATCTCATGGGATATATTTTTTTTTAATTATATATTTATTATATCTGTGAAGGATCTAATTATATTTTATATGGAATTTCAACCGGTTTTAATTTTATTAGTTTATTTTCAGATCACCAAAACAATCATTTGCACCACTTATCCTTCATCCAACTAAATCTTTTAGTCTACATAAAACTAAACAACAGGTAGGATTAAATTAAAAAAAAAAACATTTGTACCTGCCAAATAAATTCGTGGTACACATGAAATATATAAACTGTAATATTTCGGGAATTAAAAATTACAATATTTCCGGAACTAAGCTGTAATACTTTCTGGTCTGTTTTTTTTAAAATTTGCATATAATATAGATAGAAAGGAACTAAATTAAAATGTTTTAGATGTTTGAAATTGAAAATTTCATTGTAAAAGATAAACTTTATCATGTCATAAAACATGTCATTTCTAGTTTAATAAAGAATGTAATCCGGAAGTAAATAAGTAACTTTGCCAAATAAGGAATAATTAATTTTGGAAGATCCTGAATTACTTTCTGTTTTAATTAATTAAATGAAAATTTGATAAAATTAGTTAATTAAAATAAATTTTTAGACTGATCCTAGCGATATGATTATTGAAAGTGACAACGACTTGCGACAATTCAATGTATTTATTTTCAAAAAACTAACGAAATTGGAGAATAATAAGATGAAAAGAGATACACAAATTGATGCAATTTTCAAGAAAGCATTCAAGGAATTTCATATGGAAATTATTGGCTATGAAGCGGTTCTCAATGTAAATATCATAAAGTTATTTTGTATAATTTAAAATTATTTCAAAAAATTTTAGTCTTCTTTTGATTTTAATTTAACTTTCACCTTTGACCTACTTTTACCTTTTTTTTCAACCTATTTATTTATTAAAGTTATTTTGTGTAATTTAAAATTATTTCAAAAAAATTTTAGTTTTCGTTTAATTTTAATTTAACTTTCACCTTTGACCCACTTTTACCTTTTACCTTTTTTTTCAACCTATTTATTTATTTTTAATCTATTAATCAAATTGCAAATTTTATTGCTCTTTTTCGTTTATTACTAATTAAATTAATTAATTAATTAATTTTAGGTATAGCAAAATTATTCCAAAATATGTTTTATTATCAATTTCAATACATTAATGCCTCCCCCTCCCTTCTACCCTCCCCCCCCCCCACCCTTTATTACAATTTATGCAATTACTACGCGGGAAGAATTTGAAATGCATTCATGGATAAAAGTTAAATTGTAACCTTTTATATTGGAGAAGGAGAGGTTAAAGGTTAACATTAACATTAAATAAATTAAATTCAAATTTTAACTAAATTTTCAAAATAAACGATATGTTTTCGTAAATTATTTGTAAAAAATTAGTGACTGAGAAAAAAATTTCCAATTCATTTCTATTATTATTTAATTTAATGTTAACATTAAAAACAGGAAGACTTATAATTCATAAAAAACAAAAAAAAACAAAAAGGTACAACTCTTTGTGATATTATTAAGACGCTAATTAATTCTATTGACCTTTTATGTTCAGTGACCTTTTCAGGAAAATAAAACAGTGCTAAAGTATCGCGATCTTATTACTATTTTTGAAGGTTCATTAACTAAAGTTTCAGCACAAGAACAGGTATATAATATTCCATTATTACTAGAATCTTAATTAAATTGTAAGATATCGAAAGGATGAATTAATATGTTGTCATTATCTAAATGATTGTTATAATAGTTACAATTATATATTAATAGACTTTAAATTAATAAAAATTTCGAAATTTTAGCAAATTATTTAAACAAAATTCAATATAACTTTATCTTTTTATCAAATATTTTATTGTTATTATTACTATTCTCTAATTTACAAAATATTATCAAACCAATGATTAATTTAAAAATGATTTTTTTAATTCGAAAATTAAAATTAAAATATTCTATTAAATTTTATAATTGCTTTTTTTTCCTTTTTTTTTGCTTTTTTTTTTATCTCAAAAAAAAAAAATACTATTATAAATATTCATTCATTGTAATATACAATGTGTTAGACGTGAATATACGTAACATACGTGATTACAGGTAACATTTCCCACGACACTTGGTGTAAATGCTTTTCGTGGATTCTTAAATGAATTTATGCATGAACAAACAAAAAGTAAGAAATCAAGTAAGAAATCGAATGTTCTTGAGGTAATTAATAATATATTTCCATTTTTTTTCTCTTCTTTTTTTACTTTAACATTTAATCGTTTTAACTTAATTTATGCGTTCTTTTTCCGTTTATTAACCTTAAAATTAATATATCAATATGATTTGTCAACAGAATATTGTTAGCTTTTTCAAAAGAATATTCTAGAATTGTCAATCGTTTAGGTCGATTCATTCAATTGGAATTTTCTCGAAGGAAAAAAAAAATTCCCATGTAAACAAACTACTTTTATGAGACATTCTAATTGCATGTGCATGTTGCATTTTTAAATTCAATTAATTTTACTATGCATAATACATTATCCTATTATAGGATATAAAGTTCAGAAGATGAGGATTATGAGAAATGATTCGAATTTAGAAATTATATATCTACGGAATGAATAACTGAAATACAATTTATTTGAATTAATACTGTGTGCAAATGATCTGCTTGTGTGTTCCTTATCTATTATATTTGTCAGGTATTTTATTTTTGAACAAACACAAAATGAATCTAATCAGAATTATTGATTTTAAGTTAATTAACAAATTCACATAACTAACCTTCATATTATTTAAAAGACTAACAAATACGACATATCCTGTTCGGGAAAAGTTTAATTATTAAGCATTCTTGATAATTTTCATTACAAAACTTTTTCCACAAAAAAAAAAAAAAAAAGAAAGGAAAAAGAGAAGGAGAAAATATGATATGCCAGTTATCTATTGTAATAGCTAATCTGGTTATTATGGTAATTATAATTTTAATAAAATCTATATTTGTTTTTTTTTCAATTATTTGTTTGCCTGACAAGTGATAAAATTGATTTTCCATTGATTTATTATCTTTCATTACAGAATGTTCGCAAAAAACGAAGAAAATCCGATGCAACAGTGGTATGTTTATTGTTTTATTGTTATTGTTTTTATTGTTTTAGTTGTAATCGTACATAAAATACTGAAGAAATTAAATATAACAACAAAAACTTATTGTTTTATTGTTATTGTTTTATTGTTTTAGTTGTAATCTTACATAAAATACTGAAGAAATCAAATATAACAACAAAAATTTATTATTTTATTGTTATATATTTACATAAAATCTTTATATTCCTGGAATTTTTCATTTTTTCATGTATAAATAAAAACATTCGAAAAATGAAATGAATGCATTTCAGTAATCAGAAATATAAATTTGACCATTAATTTCAGACATATAATGGTCATCGATTCAAATTAGAATACGTTCATGTACCAACATATTGTGAAGTGTGCAATTTATTCATGTGGCATGCTGAAAAAATTTTTATTTGTAAAGCATGTCGTATAAGTTGTCACAAGAAATGTCATTCAAAGATTACGACAAGTTGTACTCAATCGTTACAGCAAGCAGTAATTTAATTTTTTAATTTTTATTTTTTAAAATTTTCATTTATGAAATATTTAAGAACCAGAAAAAAAGTGAGAGAGAGAGAGAGAAAAAAGAAAGTGGTGCAAAATATATTGGAGAAATAGCCGAAATCACATATAAAACTAATGCTTCCGATTATTTCTTAGATAGAAACGATTAGAGTTATCTAAAATTGTAATTTCAAAAAATAAGGAAAGATTAGATTAGTTGATAAGTCAGAAATTATTTCAATTTTCATTTTCTATATTTTTTTACTTTCACCAAATTCTTACGTATTTTACGAGAGTTCATGACCTTTCCTTACCTGCTCATTTAGAATTAATTTCCTCAAACTATTATCCCATCCGACAATTTATCCAATAGAATATAAAATTTACATGGATAAATATTTCAATTTATTTTATCATTTATAATTTTATGAATTTCATTAAATTACAACTTTTATTAACCGGAAATGTCGGGAAACTTTTCAGGATCAAAAAATATGTTAAAATCATAGAGAACGAATAAATAAAGCAAGAAAGCGCAAAAAGGATTTTAAACTATTTGCGCTTCTATTCCTTATATTTATCTTCATTGAATTAAATTTCAAAAAAAAAATGAAGCTAATATAAACTTGCAGGATTCACAATCTGGTGGACGATTTTTTGGTGCTAATTTGAGTAGTCTTGTGGATGAACAAGAAACAATTCCAATTGTTATCAATAAATTATTTATAGCTATTGAGCTTAAGGCTCTTTTTGTTGAAGGAATTTATAGGAAAAGTGCAGCAATTGGACAAGTACGTAATGCACGTCGAGAAATTGAAAATGCAGGTAGCATATTTTGAGAAATTTGAAAATGCAGGTAGCATATTTC